CATTCGATGAGCCTATGATTGGCAACAAGCCGGAGGAACCGATTCCACCCAGCCTGAAGCCGGTAGAGGAACCTATTCCACCCAGCCAGAAGTCGGTAGAGGAACCGATTCCACCCAGCCAGCCTGTTGCACCTGTTTCTCCCATCGAGGCAAGGTTTTGCAAAATTTGTCGATAAGAAAAGGAACTCAGCTGTCAATGTGACAAAGTTTGGGGGTCAAATGTTTCCAGACAAAGTTTGGGGGTCATGATGTCTTGCGAAATTGGATCCTGGCAGGAGGGCCCTTGTAGCAAAGACGATCAGCTCAGGTTGGCCCAGAAAGCCAAAAGTGAGTCCAAGTCAAAGGGCAGGCCGCGTGGCAAGGCGAAGGCGAAGGCCAAGGCCAAGGCCAAGGCCAAGGCCGGGCCAGAGGCCGAGGCCAACGCCCCTGTGGAGAGGGAGAAGGATGCGGAGGATGTGCCTGCCAAAAGGCGTCGGACTTCAGCAGCCAAGACGGCTGAGTTCAATGAAGCGGAGCATGGTGAGCTTTCGGAGCCGGTCAAGAAGATGCTGCAGCAGAAGGTGGTCCCGCACACCTTTGGCGGACGCGCTTGCCCGACCAAGGGATGGGGCCTTGAGAAATTTGCCAGGACAGTGGACGCTTACCGTCAGAAGGTTGAGCCGCACCTGCCATCTCGGACCAAGCACAAGGCTCAGGCCACCGGGTTGTAAAGTCTAGTTTTTGTTTTTCAGTCAAACCAAATGGAAATCCAAGAGGTGTTTTCTTCTAGCATTCCCTTGCACAGTGCACCCTTTCCAGATGCTATTCTGTGAGCTGGTGCAAAGTGCCAAGAATGAGCAATCCGATCAGAGCCCGGGCGACTTCAGCTACATTCAGTCTGCCGTTGCAAAGTTCTTCAGCGAGTGGCAAAAGCGCGGCCCTCAAACTGATAAGTCAGATGTCTACAAGTCAGATGACTGTGTCTCTACAAAAACAATGATGAAGAACAGCGCAGTGGAAACAAGACATTCAATCGTGAACAAATTTTAGCTATGTTTTCTTTTGGTTGGTATGTTTGTGTGATCGTGCATGAACAAAAGCCCAGCAAAAGGGAAAGTACACATCAAGAGGGACACAGAAGAACACACTAGAGAGGTTTACTTTATCACAACGGGGCTCAATGTACGTAACCTTAAATAGACTTACCTTTCGACTTCACAACTCTGGACGATGCCTTTGAAGCCGCACCAACCTATTGAAATGTTCTGTACATACACTACTTGGCGAGTATCATGGAACATCTGGAGTTTTGTAAAGGCATCTCCGGACGCTGGACTTAGGCGGCAGCAGAAGGCATCTATGGCCGAGCCTGACCAAGCAGGAAGGGTTCAGCAACCGGCTGAGCAGGAATCTTCCACTCTCAGCTCTGGCTAAAGCTGACTAAGCTTGATGCGGAGCGATTTTGAATGTTGTGTTCCTTTGATTGACGATGGCCTTCAGTGCACGCATGCTGGCCAACATTAGCAGTCTGAGCACTGTCCTGTTTCATTGTTTTCGGAAGAGAGATTCCATAATTTTTCCGGAGAGCAGCGTGCTTAGATGAATGGCTAAGATTCCAGTCAAAGTGTTTTGAGCGTAGACTTCAGGACGGGAGGGGCCCGCAGCAGAAGAAATACTGAAACCTTCATTCAGCAACCAGGATGGAAAACGACCAGGCTGTCAAAGGTCTAGAGGCAGAGGGTTCACCCGTGCGCTCATTTCTTTGCCATGTGCAGGTTGGGGATGAGCTTCTTGAAGGAGCTCCGTGGTGTGAAGCGAGAGGCCAAACATGGGCTCGTTGACGCCACTGTTGAAGCCCTTGAAGGTTTCAGCTGGCCTGTTTGAGCATGTAGCGTCTGAGAAACAAACCCTTTTCAATGCTGAGAGTTAAAATTCCTTTCGATCTTTACTCTGTTTTCTCAGCTGCAGCTGATCAGTGTTCCAAGAAGGGCTGAGGGTGTGAGAAGTGTACGGTTGGCCTGTTGCGGAAACATGCCATGGACAGCTTCTCAAGTTGTGCAGCGGTTGCACCGGATGAAGGCCCCCAAAGCTCCTTGTCACTAGACAGTAACGTTCCAATTACTACTGGGCAGTAGAGCTGAAGTTATATTATATTTTTATGCTTCCCTGCTGGCGCCTTGCTTCATGAGTGCTTGAGGTGCTCGCATTTGCGTGCATGCTTCTCATTTGGAATAGTGAGGTGGATGGCACACAGGCGCCAGTCGGATTTGAACTTATGGCCAAAAGGTCAACAAAGCAGAGGATGTAGGTTGCAAGCATTAGTTCCATCGCTGCAGGACCTTCATTTCTTCGAATCATTTGCTGGGTGTGCCATGGCAACCCGCGAGGTGCAGTCATGCTTTCCGGCTCTGGCTGCCAGAGCTTTAGATGTTGAGTACAGTCGGACCTTGGACTTGACCTCGCACAGTGGAATGGGGCAACTCGATCTAACTTAATCCCCCACTTGTCGATCAGTGAATCTAGACATGTAACACTTGAATACACTTGATGACACTGTGTTTGGTAAGGGCAGCTCTTGCTTCCATCTTACAGGGACGAGATGATGGCTGGGTCCATTGGTTAGGGGTTCAGTGCGCGACCTGGGTTGCTACCTCCAGAGGCAGTACTGGCAGGAGCGCGGCAAACCCGGAAGGATTAGATGGAGAAGTTCGTTGCGTGACTGTTGCCAACTTTCTGGCCTGTAGGCCATGGAGTTTTAAAGTGGAGGAAGGGTATCTCCCTTCATGTCAGAATGTGAAAGATGTTTGTTTGGAAGTTAAGCAATTGTGCTTTGTATGCTGAATGTCCGGCCTGGACTCGTGCCAGGGTGGCTCTTCTGTGCATCGCCACAGTAGCTTTTTGTGGCACTTGGATTGTGGAGCAGCCCCGCAGCAGCCTTCTTTTCGACCATTACAGAATGAAGGAATTGTTCGACTACTTTGATGTTCTTTGTCTTGCTAACCTTTCCTTTGCGATGTTTTATTGGCTTCCAAACGTCAAGACACCAAGTTTGCAATGCAGGTGAAAGAGTTAGCCAAAGATGAAGGTCAGAATCTGTTTCATTTAAGTGTATGACTGTATGACTGTTTTGTGATGTTTTTGTCTTCAAGGTCCATGTTTTCCAGGAATTCCTAAATGCTGTGCGTGTTTGTTACCTGCAGTTGCCACTTGAGTTCCAGCGAGGGGCACTCGAATTTTCAACTGACTACACATAATACTCTCAGATGTTCAGTTTAGGGGCGCATGAATTCTTTTGGCTCTTTTCAATAGATTTCTGGCAGGATCACAGGTTTGCAATCAATTACCCTTAGCCAGTCGAGTGTCGCCAGGTTTTTCGATGCAACTTCTGGATGTTCCATTATCAAGCACCAACACCGAAAAGGACGAGCTTGTGGTCCAGTAGCCCAGCCATTGGAGTGTTTTGGACCATGCGGTTGAAGAAACACGTGTACCGGAAGGCTTTGAAAGATCGTGGAGCCGAGCAAAAGCCATGTCGTACCTACAAAGATAAAGAAGGCCGTACTCGCTATCATGGAACTCCTGCCCTCAAGTCTACAGAGTAAGGGCCTTATTTTTTGGAACGCGCTATCCTTTTGCCAAGTTTGCCAAAGCAAAAACATTGAACTTCCATGTCCACATGCCCCTTCTACGACACACATCAGGCGATACACGAAATGCTTTGGAGAGAAAATTGCCTCCATGCTTGAGAAGCTGAAGCCAAAGGTTGTTTTGAGATCCCATGATGACTCAGCAGATGCCATTCGCATCTGGCAGTCGTGGGAGTGGGGTGACAAATGGAATGATGCAGAGATGGTAGCTCTCTGTCAGTATTTGTATGGGGCTTGCGCTCTAAAGGTTCCTCTGGAGTGGAAGAAAGTCCTTCCGCGGGAACTGTGAGTTTCAATGGCAGGTCGCACGTTCACCTTGAAGTGTTGTCTTTGTTTACCACAACTCTTCTTGAGCATTGATACTATTTTTGTCAGGCCTTCTGTTGAGAACTCAGTGAGCGTCTAATTTGCTCCGGCGGGGGTCTTGCTGCAAGCTTTCTTTGCTGCTCGCTGGGGCTGGATCGTGTGGGGTGTGGAAAAGAAGCTACGTCCGCAATCTCCACAGTCTATGACACCAGTCCATTCAGTGGAAGCTTGCGTGCAATTTGTGTGTTCCCAATGTGCTTCCCGGTGTGCAGTTGTTCGATGTGTTTACAAGTCTTTGATGTGTTTACAAGCTTTTGATGACTCTTAGACCGTTTTCTGCACATTTCAACATGCATCGCCCAAAAACACAACGCAGCTCCTAGAAACATAACGCGAACACCCACAAACACAACGCGATCGCCCAAAAAATCATATCGCCTAGAAATCGTGAAGGTGACGCGCCTAAAAACACAACGCAAGCGCCCACAATAAAAGCGCAGGCGCCCAAAAATATGACGCCACTTTGGTGTTTTTTGCCTTGTAAGACTTGACATCCAAAGACCATTGGTTGTTACAGTTTGTTGAGGTTCTTGGCCATTTTGTTGGCAAACCTGCTGCTATCCACAGGGGTTGCTCAAGCCTTAAGCCTTCGTGTTGCTTTGTGCCGTCTGTGTTGTGATCGGGGGATGTCTGTGGCACTCAAGAGCCAACTATGGAGTTGCTCATCCTTGCAAGAAGCTTTGGATGTGTTGAAGCTCACAGAGACGATGCCAGATGACCCGGAACAACTTCGTACACTTATTGAGGACTTCATCATTGAACACATAATCTATAGGACAAACAATTAAAGACTGGCAAGCCCCTGATTTCTGCTCTGGCAGGAACTTCGAGCCCTTTCAGAGAAGGCAAAGACAGAGGATCTTGCCCTTTCAGAGGCTGAAACCGTGCCTTATGTGTTTAGCAGCACGGGAGATTTTCACGTGAAAGAAGAAGACCACTCGAGCGTTCCTAGATTTCATTTGGTTTCACCTATTCGGTCTTGAGTTTCAGAGACTTTTCAGCTGACCATTTCAGATATTTTCTGGATTCAGTTCAACCCCAAGGCTGTTGATGGCCTTGGCATGGATGCTGATGCCCAAGACGATGCAAACCTAGCATTGCAATTGCAGCAGAACCTTTTGTTAGATTTACAGAACAGCGATGTGAATGTAGCAAGCAGCGTCTATGAAGATCCGTACTTAGTCACTGCCAGCCCTCCCAGATCTCCGGTTTGCAGAAAGCCTGTTTCCTCCCCACTGGGCGACGCTGGCAAACCTGGCGATGGCAAGGTGCATGCCGCGTCTAAATTGTCAAATAATGGATGTTGTGCTTCAATTGTACAATGTGTGTTTCCCTCCAGTTTCCTGTGGAAAAGACGCAATCAAACAAGCACGCATTTGTGCAATTTCAAGATGTGACACGGTGCTTGCTTGTCCGTATGTTTAACCTGATTGTCTGGTTGCAAACCAGGGGACCAGTTCATCAACGACTGTGACTCCGACTTCATCGCTTGCTTCTGACAGGAGCTCAGGTGCAGGGAAGCGAGTTTCTCTGGCATGTTTTGGCGAAGATTGTTTTCTACAGTGAATGTCATGGGCCTCACTGGTGATTTCCTGTATGCAAGGAAACCGTAGGGCCGTAGGATATTTGCAATGTTGTGTGGACACAACATTGCAGGATGCCAAACGATCTCTCATAGAAGCCTTGGGGCTCGTTGATGAGGCCGACCTAGAGCGTTGGCAGGGAAAGTTCCGTCGTGTGTGTGAGCCGAAGCGGTCCTCTGGCAAATTGGATGTGCCTGAAGACATATTCGAGCAGTATGCTGCCCGGGGGGCCAGTAGGGACCGCCTGTTTGAGATATTTGTCCAGTCTGGAGGTGATACTGAAGCTCTACACCAAACTATCGCTTTGTAAGTTTTGTTTATAGACTTCTTCCTTCTGCTTTGAATATTGCCTTTTTGTGGCTTCCGGTTTCGAAGTAAGGATGCGTTTGTCAAGGAAGTCCGGGTTGTACGGTCCCAAGAGCAAATCAATGAGCTGAACACCCACGGTGGTTTCTATACAGAAGATGAGATGAAAGACATCCTCAAGTGGAAACCGTGCCTGTTCACATTTATGCAGGGAATTTGTTTGTTGTGTTTGAGATTCTCATGTACTGCTCTGCTGCCTAAGGGGACGGATTCGAGCGGCTGTGGAGCGAGGACAAAGGGATCCTGAATACATGATGCAGCTAGGCTTAAAAAGGCATGCGTGGCATGAATTTCCCATTGGTATTTGAAACAGCACCAGCAGAGTTGCTTTGACAAACCCAATCTTCTGATGCGTCCTTATCAGCAGCAGGTTTTGTTTTTCTCAGGCTCGATGAGCTGGATGAACTCTGTGGTACTCTACTGGTGCAATGTGAGAACTGAAGGTTCATTGAAGAACCGGCAGAGTCAGGGCTTGTATGAGTCCACAACTGCTCAGGGAACGACCAACCGCTTCAAAGCCAATCTTCTTGGCAACAAGTTGGATTTGCCATCCTTGGGGCACCACGGGCCAGCCAAGAAGGAGGAGAAAGCTGTCAAGGCTGACAGATCATTCGTTGCAAGCCAGTGAGTTTGATGCTGATTTAAAAGAAGCCAATCGCATGTTAACCAAAAGGGTTTCCGGTAAACAATGACCTCGAGGCACACGAGCTGGAAGTTCACATGGACGAACTCATCAACGTTTTGGGCAAGATTAGCCCGTTTCTGGAGAAACTGGACGGAAGCACTTTGGCGGGAGCAAAAGAGACCCAAGCTTAGCTTGTGGAGAGGTGTCATTCATGTCAATCCGATTCTCTGATCAATTGAAATGTCCCCCATGAAGCAGCGACTCAGGGCGGCCAAGAGCGTGGTGGAGTTGCAGAAAAAGGTTTCCAAATTGTACGACGACATGACTGAGCTCACGGCCGACCTCAGAGTGGGGGAAATCAGCGTTGATGAGCCGAAGAATCTAGCCTGCTATTTTTGGATATGTTCTTCGACGCTTGCGCGTTTCATGGTTGGTCTGTCTTCTTTCCTTGGGCGCTGTTCGAGCAGATATGCCATTCCTGTTTTGCCCAGGCATGCTGCAACTTTGAAGACCTTGTACAGCACCAGCAAGCGCCTGCCATTGTCTCAACTAGTTGATTCATCTGAAACCCAGTTTTCTTCAAGAGTTGAGGATGTTTAATGCTGCTGAGGCTTTCAACATGGACAGCCACAGAGAAAAAGTACAGGTTAGGGACCTGGATGTGCTGTGTCAACAGTTTAGCATCACTAGTTGTCCATCTGCATGGTGTGACGTTTATTCTGCTGTTCACCTATCCATGATGCTGGCCAAGGCCGTTGCTGCGCAAGCCTCGGAAGTCCGAGAAGGAAGACTAAGCGGTTTGAGAGGGATTTTTGACTTTCAAGTCTGGGGTTGAAGCGGGTGTGAATGCACGCCATAGCTTCCTTGCAATTACTGGTGATCACGCTCCCAGAGTGTGCAGACCTTTAGATTAGTGTTGAGCGCTGCTCGAGTTGATGCATTTGGGTCCAGTGTGGGCAACATTGACTCTAAACTACATGCTGCCCTGAGATATGGTAAAATGATGTAAAATGAAAGACTATCAGCGTCCTCCACATCAATTTTTGTTGAGCTCCAGAGTCCAACGGGGGAGACAGTTGTTTTGTTTATGGTGGCTTTTACTGTCTTGGCCAGGTCGGCCACGATCAAGAGTGAGTGGGACGGCAGAGTACCTGGCCAAATGCGTTGGTTCTGGCGTGCCAAGCTCAGGGTCTTTCCTTCCCACTTGAGCAAGCATAGCGTATGAGTCATTCGTGATAGTGGGAGAAGACCAGCTTCTGGCTCTCAGCACCATGGCGTGTGAAGAGACACTATGGCTGGAAGAACTTCTAGGCTTTAGCGTAAAGAATAATTTGCGATGCCGGGAGCAACGGCAGCCTTGTGAAGGCAACTTGGATTGTTTAAAGTAATGCTGGGTGGAAGCGAGCAATTTTTGTTTCTTTAGTATTATCAAGTTTTTGGATTGAACGTGCCACACAAATGCTCGTGGTGTACTCCTGAAACAAAGGCTTTGGTGGACCTCATGACCTCACGAGTCTTTGTCCTTGCTAAAAGCGTGATGCTGTGAATGCATTTCTGTTTTCGCATCTGCCGAGGACCTCCTGTCAAAAAAATCAGGTCATCCGCTCTTGCAAGTCCTTTGCCCGTGCTGGACCAGTTTCATTTTGAGGAGAGGGGTTTTGGAAAGGCCGCCAAGCCGTCTAGTAGCAGGCTTAGCGGTTCCATTGTGCACAGACATGAAAGCTTTTGGGGATGGCTTCCGCATATTGTCATTGTATTGAAGGGTGGCCAAGGGTGAGATGTAAGATGCGCGAGTCGTTCCGAGGTGTACAAAGCATTCTTGATCTGTTCAAGCCTGCGCTGAGAGGTTTGCCGAGACTTCAACATTTGATTTTGAAGGGGTTGGGGGACGATGGCCTAGTGTGGTTGAAATTGCCACCGCCAATGGCCAACACAGGAAAGGCTTTGGCCTCATGCCGGAGACAAATAGAGAATGTTTTGACCAAAGGCCCACATGTTTACAAAGTAGGGGTGACGGCAGACCCTTTGTTTCGTTTCTACAAGGAGCCGACACATGAGTCACCGTCTCCAGGCTACTATAGGTCCCCTGACAGGTTCAAGTTCATGGATGTCATTTATGCGGCAGAGTCCTTTGACGAAGCAGCTTTAATGGAAGCTGTTCTAATTGAAACTTACAAAGGCATGCCCGGAAACAGAAATGTTCGGCCGGGTGGCGAAGGGAGACAATGTGGGCAAGGGCCCTTTTTTACTTATTTTGTGTTCAAATCTGCGATGTAATTCGCGCCGTGCAACCTAAAAGCAATTGTTGGGAAACAAAACAGGCTTTGTTCTGTGCGTTGATGCAAAAATGAGCAACATAGGGAACAATCTTGCAGGGAGTGGGACTTGTGATGCTTTGATATGCTTTTGCCAACGTGCTGAGGTGCCATGCTCTCAGGTCGTTGGCTTTGCCAAGAAAGCGATGGAAGATGCCGTTGGGACTTCATCCCAAGTTGCTTCCTGTCCAGTCGTGAGGGGTCTGAGCAAACTTAAAGCCAATGATGCAGAGGATAGGCTTCACCCACTCCTTGCCAAGCACAATCTGAGTTTGCCTATAGATCTGACCCCGCTATCTGGGGACTTGCTGGAAGGGTATCCTAGACTCAAACCTCTCCACTTCCTGGAATACATGGCAGCCAATGGCTACCTGAACCGTCTTCTTGGAGGAAAGCAGGTGGCCGAGGCACGGCCGATGCTTGAGGAGTTTTGGCGAAGGTTTGAAGTGTACCACCCCGACTTTGGTTTGTTTCTGGTGGACGACCCTGATGTAGAGCTTGGGCTTTGCATCCCAGTCTTTGCTCACGCTGATGGCGGACGTGGTTACAAAAAGTCCGAGTTCATGGTTTTTAACTGGAGCTCAGTATGCGGAAGCGGGACTGCAGGCGGTAATAAGAAAGATCATTCATTCCGAATGCTCAAGCGGGGGAAGAAAGAAGCCCAAATCAACCTCTTGGGACACTCGTATGGGACACACTACATGTACTCCGTGATGCCAGCTGCCTGGCACAAAGATGACTCCTGTTTCCAGGCCATGATGACAGAGTTTGGGAAGGATCTTCATGAGTGTTTTGAGACTGGTGTGCTACATCAAGGTTTGCGCTTGCGGCTCGTTGTTTTGGGCTTGAAAGCGGATTTGAAGCTTCAGGCCCGTGCTGGCCGCTTTACACGATGGTACTCCACTTGCAGGAAAGGTCCACTTGATCCGACAAACCTCAAACAGAGTCCAGGGTTGTGTTGCTGGTTGTGTCCAGCTGGAGATGTCCAATTCCCCTTTGAGGAGATTCACACAGATTCTCCCAAATGGTTTGAAGCTATCGGGGAGTGGGCGCAATGGGTGCCTTGGAGAGATGGAGAAATTAGCGGATTGGTGGCCAACAGCTTTCAGTACTTGTCTCAACCGGCAAAATTTTTCTTGCCTGATTTGTTTCATGTATATCTGGCAGGGTTCGGTCAAGACCATGCCGGGTCATGCTTGGTCGCAATGCTGGGAACCATATTTGTTGGAACATCTGTTGATGCCCAACTGGCAAGTTTGAACACAGCGTGGCGAACTTGGAAAAAATGATGAGGGTTACTGCCAACACCTATTTATTCACCAGAAACATGCTGAACTTTCCAGATGCTACAAAGACTTTTCCCACTGGAACCTGGTCAAAGGCCTCAGATACCTCAAAGATAAGTGAGTTCATCATATACATGTGCGAGACGTACGACGACAAGGTTTCCCAGGACAAGATGCTGCACTACATTGATTTGTCTTGCAAAGCTTTACGCAAATGCATGAGAGGTTTGTACAGTGCTGATTTGTGGGTAGAGCCTCAGTCAACATTGGGTGACGTAATGTTGTGTTTTGGTTTTGCCACTAAGTTATTTCAACGACTTATATAAGTTCCCCTGTTTTAGCAAACAATGTATTGGTGGGTGGCATTGGTCTAGGACTGTGGGGCTGTAAGCAAATTTGTCAAACGGTGAGATATGTTTGGTCCAATGTTTGGTTGCCTTGGCGAACATGACACCCTACATAAGGTATGTCATGTCTGCTTTCCCCATTACTCCGCCACAACGCTCAAAGGACATTGACATAGACAAAATTGCAATTCTTATTATAAGTCCTATGAGTAAAAGAGATTAAAGAACACTTCCCCATGATGTCCTCTACCTGATCCACCCTCATCCCTGTTCATCCTCATCCTGATCCATCCTCCTGATCATCCCCAGCGTCATCCGCATCTTCACCTTCATGCTCATCCTAGATCATCCTCATGTTCATCCTGATCCTGATCGATTTTGATCATGAGTTACCTAATTGCCTTGACCCATTCCAATCTTCACCGCCTTCAACCGTGTCCTCACGCTCATCCTTATCTTAACTACTCAGGCTTCAGCAAACTGCAGGCGAATAGTGTATCCGCTTGCCATGCCACCTTTCGTTTCATTCACCCACGTCCTATAACTCAAGGTTGGGTTCCAATTCTTTCATTTTTCTTCCACCAAGGAAGAAACCCTGGCGGAGCAGATTGTGGGAGATGGCCTGACTTTTTTGCAGGCTTATGCCAAGCTTGCAAGTTTGGCATATGCTAGTTCCCGCCCCCTCTTTGCCTACAGACCAAAATTACACTATTTCCACCACATTCTTTTGGAAATGAGGGTGACTGTTCGCAAGGGCGGCAGGCCAATGAATCCTTTGGCCTTTTCGTGTAGCTCCGCAGAGGATTTTATTGGTCGCGCATCACTTTTGAGTAGGCGTACAGCTGCTCAAACTACAGAGCGCAGGGTTCTTCAGAGATACCTTGCAGCAGCTCATGATGTGTGGACCCGTGAGCGAAATTCATAGATCTACGACAGTTGCGGTGGCCTGGGGAAACAAACATGAAACTGGTCCGATGGGTGAAGGGATGCGATGAATGGAATACCTTGGCGTGGTAGACTCAATAAGAGACAACCTTAAGTTTTGATAGGCTACATGCCTGATCCACAAGAGATGTTGCATGGATATGCAAGAATGTGAAAGAACCAATGATTTCCCTAATTTTCAGATTTTTGAGCTAAACCTAAAAATCCCAATCGCCTAGAAAAAAGTAGGCTGTCAGGGGGTCTTGGTATATATAATATATTATGTAGTTGTGGGGGCTGTTCGGTTGTGCTTTGCTCCGATGATACCTGCCTACTTCGACCTGGCTGGATAAAAGAGCCTTGCTTCTGGCTCTCTTCGTCTTTTTCGCCCTCTGAAAGGTTCCTGATGAATTTGATCAAACATTAAAACGAAGGAATGGAAGGAAGGAAAAGAGACGACAAAGGAGGAAATTAAGCCCCTCCTGTAAAGGGGGCCCTCACTTCCTTTTTTGAATTCTTCTTTTGGTCCCCTTTCGGAGTGCGTGAAGATCCTCATCGGGTTTGTTGGCCGACTCCGACGATTGGTTCGCCGAACTCGGCCAGGAATTCAAGCCGAAGCACGCCATTGCCTTGTCGAACTTCACCATTTTGGGTGGTGCAATTGCAAATACCCTGGCGAATGCCAGGTGGGGCGGCTCCAGGTTTTTCGAGAGAATCGTCTCGTTCCGCTCGAAGTTTGATAATTTTTCACCACACCGACTCACCGAACATGGGATCACTCAGCCATCCTCTCGAATTTCAAGGTCGGTACTGGTCAAGACCCTTAGCTCAATAGCATATGAAAATGCTCTGGCAGCACTAGAAATCCGAGCTCCCAGGTGAATCATTTCAACACATTTAGCATGTTCGATGATCACAATGGATGAACCTTCGATTTTCAGCACAATCGGTGTGGGTCATGGCACCTCCCGGTGTCGGCTTTTCCATCTCTCAAAAGGAATCTGTTCATTTGACTGACTTACGAACGTAGCGAGGCCGCGAACCGCTTGGAGGCCGCTACGTTCGCTTGTTCGCCCGCGACGAACGTAGCGAGCCGGAGTCCCCAGGGCCGGTGTCCCGGTGCGTCCGCGACCGGTGCCACCCGTGACGTCAGTCTTCCAGTCCCTGTGGCCGAGGGAGACCTATTGGGGTAGCCAACGTGGAGCTCCCCGTCCAAACGAACTGGGGGGTAGAGTCATAGTCCTTCTTATACGAGGCTGTTTCTATTGCACTGCTGGTAGCTGCAAGCTTTCAACAAACGCAGATCTTTCTGGACCAGTTGCAGGGAAGAACTCCTGCCCTCTTCCAGACAAGATAGCTGGATCCCGAAGACTCTTCACAGCCTGTAGTAGTAGATGACTTGTCAATAGTCTTGTGCTCCGGCAAAATATACGAGGCTGATATGGGAGATGTTCCTGAATCATCGCCTAAGAATGCAGACCCGGAACATTGTCTTGTCCCTGCAGCTCCAGCCGAGAAGTTCATTTGGTCGTTCGCCTCCTTTGAAAAGATACAGCTTCTCTACCCCCCTGGATTGTGGCAGGTGCAATTGGCTCCGACACCACTAGGCTACTGGTCGGCTCAGTGAGAACCTCCTTTCGGTCGGGGGACCGATCCACCGCATTTCGGTCCAGGGCCGACGTGGGGAGTTCAGTGCCGCCTCCTCGCCAGGAGAAAGCATCCGCAGCGCCCCTCCGAGCCCTTGATCGATTGGGATCTGATCCTTGTGACTTGAAGAAGATTTGACGCCCTTTGTTCTTAGTAGCTACTTGCTCCTAGTTGTAAGGCCAAGAGCTACTAATAGCGTCCTTGCTCCTTGTAGTGATGCCAGGAGCTACTAGTAGATTCTTGCTCCTACTTGAAGAAGATTTGATGATTTTCGAGGACCACAGACAGTTGTTTGTGGCTGGTTCGATCCACGTTCATTCAACCTAACTGTATACAAATAATGACTGCACATGTGTGCCAGCGGCGCCAGCCAAAGACATTCCCAGCCAATGTGAGGTTCCTATGTAGTTGTATCAACTGTGAGGGAGGTTCTTCTTGCCCTTCCTTCCCGCCATATCTTCATGCGACTTAGGCAAGGACGCTACTAGGGGCTCCTGGCCTTACTACTAGGAGCAAGGACGCGACTAGGGGCTCCTGAGTCACCGAGTCACCGGCTTCAGCCCACCCGCTGCTCCGTTGCGAAGACTCCGGAGCTCGATTGTGCCGCATGGAGTACCTTCACCACTTAGCTTCCTCACCTCACTACTTAGCTACCACCCTTTGCAGCTGCCCATTTAAGGATATCATATCATCATATATCACGGTGAACGCCTTTTTTTCAATAGACATTCCAACTGCTCCTCTCCCTCACTCGCCACTGCGCATCGTCGCACGCGCCGACCGCGCGGTGTCGCCGTGTGACGTGGCCTCGGTGAGCCTCCGAGGCCATGGAGCCCTTAACGATCTTCGGTGCAGTCTTTGGCTCCCTGCTCTCCAAGACCGGTGCGTCGTCTTCACGTGCGTCGCGTGGTCCGATGCGTCTTCATGGGTTTAAAATGGTTTATAATGGATACATGATAGGTTTATACACTAGCTGACTCGAGCTGAGTAATAGGCCTTAGTAGGCTTCCGTTGCTAACTAAGTATGACCAGAAGACCTGTGGTTCTTTGGGATTTGAGGCTTTCGGATTCAACATCGACACGTCGAGAAACCGCGTTTTCTCTGGGGCGCCCTCAATCGAACGACCTAGTGTGAATCCGCCGCGCCGGCCGTTTTGGAAGACCTTGGACCATTGAAGGTTTGTTCCCTTTGAAAACAATCTTCTTACTAATAGCGATGGCCTCCAACCTAGTAGCTTCTTGTTACTAGTATGATGCCGGGAGCTACTAGTAGCTTCTTGTTCCTAGTAGCGATGCCCATTTGTTCCTAGTAGCTTCTAATTACTAATAGCCATGGCCTCCAACCTACTAGTGAGAAACATAACAGGGCATAGGTTTTGCAGATGGTTCCAATTGATCAGATAGCGATTGATGAAGGTCCTACTGGAAGAAGGCTTTCGATTCTACTCCCCAGGGGCAGCAAAGACGACTGGTTCCGTGTCTGCCGGCCAGCAGGGTTTGCGCAAAGATACAGAACCATCTTTTGAACACACATGAAATCAAAAATCTATCCAGATGACAACAGATGAACCAGGTGGACACAGGGTAAGAGAGCCGAGAGCCTGCTGCCCAATTTCTTTTATGGTTCTTTGAGTGCATCCTGCAGGATTTTGCCCAACTTTGTGCTAACCTCAGCCCTGGTGATCATTTTGTCCCTCATAGGTGCGGGCCCTCAGCCCTGGGCGCTGGGAGTGGTGGTGGAGTGGTGGTGGGCCTGTGTGGCCTGTGAGCTCATGGAACTTCGGGGAAGCAGGAAAAGCATACAGACGTCATTTACACCACGGAAAGGTTGTCCATGAACAGCCCCGAAAAGAGGTCTTTTGGAGTGTCCATGAACCACCCTGACTGGGGGTCCAGGCAAGAACATATGGCTTGGCTATTTCTTCTCTCATTGAAGAACTGAAGAAGCACCACTACGGCTTGATACACGAGATCCCTCTAGAGAACACGGCGTCAATGTGGGTGGGTCATCGTCAGCTTGCTCCACTGAACAATTAACATTCTTTGGTTTCCTGCTTGCGATCCGTAAATTCCAGTGTGAATTCCGTGTTCCAGAGACGGCCTCAAGTGAATTTCAAGTGAATTTCAACCTGCACTCCAAGTCCACCGGCGGGTTTGTTTCAAGTCCGGCCTAAGCTTCGTTGGTTGGACGGCAGATGGATGTGGAGCGTTTTTTCGAGAAATCATCCGTGGAGAAACGCGAACTTCGGTTCGCCAAGCAAACGGTCAGAGACAATTCAGTCACATGGTGCTCGGTCAATGGATAGAGACACCACTATGCACATCTATGCACTAAGAAAGAAGCTACTAGTAACGAAGAAGCTACTAGGCATCGCTATTGGGTTGGAGGCCTTCTAGCTACTAGTAACATCTAGTAACAAGTAGCTACAGTAACGTCAGGGCATCGCTTCCTCACGGTTCGCGGACCTCTTCACGCGGACCCTCATTCGTTCGGAGCTCTTCAGAGGTCAGCGGACGTTGATGAAGGGCTGCAGCATGTTCAGAGAGGAGAGCCGCACTCTTCGACCTGTGGAGTTTGAACTCAGCGACCGCCTCTTGGATGACATTCGGTGGACCGGTGGACCTGAAGACCGTGGACCTGAAGACCGTGGATTCAGACAGACTTGGTCTTGTTAGTCTTGTTTCGGGGTACAACCGTATTCTGGGGAGGTTTTCCAAGCAATTAAAGTGAGGGATTGGGAGGAAAGAGCTGTGAGTCGTGAACCATGGTAGATGTCGACACACAAGCGTAGGACCTGACATGGTAGTTTGAAAGATTACTTTTTTACTGTAAGGTACTTTGGTGGTTGCAGTGGACCTGTGGTAGGACAGCTGGTCGCCTGCTTCGGATTGATGGTCGGTTTGTGGCAAAGGCCGGGAGTGGAACACCTCGACCTGATCCTTTGAGAGCCTTTGATAAGAGCAGAACATGTTCCAGTTTATATAAGTTGTGGAACAGCATCGCTGGAAATGGATGTTTTTAGGGGCCTTCAAAATCCGGTTCAACCCTAAATCGGGGTTATAGCGCTGGAATGCCATTGCCAGAGGGACGCGCATTTGTTCTGAATGCGACCGTTTCGACATCTCTTCCCCACACTGAAACGAACAATTTGGTGCAAAACTTCCAGAAAAGTGTCGCTTCGAAGCCAGCAGTCTTTTTTCAATCCAGCACAATTCCAGGTTGGGAGGGATGCATCATAGCAAGATGGTTGAGACTTTGCTGGTCGCGTGGTGAAATGACACGCAGACTTAGCACCGAGGGAGCTGTCCATAGCGCCGTAGGACCACGCTTTATGTCACGAAGGGCCACCCACGCTGCAAGGATCCGGTTTTTTTCCGGCTTTTGTTGGTTTGATACATGGTTTTGGCGGCTGGACAGGATCCTAGTTTCGTCCAGTCTTGCTCCCCTGGTTGGATTGGCCCAGGGTGTGGTCGCAGGCTTAAGATTTACATCGTTAGGACTGGCTCAAATCCGGTGGTGGTACATAGGGATTGGCCAGCAAGGATTTGGGACGTTCGAGTTTCGAGGAAGGTATTGTTTCTAATAATTCTATTTTAGCTTCTTGTTACTACTAGTAAGGCACTTGTTTCTAATAGCGTGGCACCTGTTACTAGTAGCTTTTTGTTACTAGTAGCGTGGCACTTGTTTCAAATAGCTTCTTGTTACTACTAGTAAGGCACTTGTTACTAGAAGCGATGCACTTGTTA